TCTCTGTTTTTAATATTGTTTAACAAGGTCATGGTGTTATTTAGCACATTTTGATGGATGCATGATGATATGGTTAGAAGGAACTGGGCTGTAAAAATACAAAGCATCGAAATCCATTTGATAAAAAAAACTTGATACCAACTTTATTTCATTATTGATTCATTCGACTTTTCACATCTTCACCAGCCTATATATCTACTTTTATCAAGGGCGACACTCTACAGAAAACTATTTCAAATAAACCTGCGAGTAAAACACATGTATATTTAATATTAGATGACATCATTACGGTCAAGGAAATTGGAAAGACGTATTGAAGTAAGTTATGCAAATAAGTAATAAAAATAGGTAGTTCTTTTACATAAATGTTGTAAAATTAATAATATTAATAAAAAAAACTAACGCTGAAATGGTATCGAAGTTGATGGTGCATTTAAAGGGTGTTTTTATAAGAGGTTGAGGAAAATAAATTGAAATAAAACGCGACTCGATTTTTATTTTAACGTGAAAATTGCTTTATTTGGTAGATAAATTCATACCATTTATGTTTTAAAAATGATTTCGGGCAAATGGCCGCCACGGCTCCGTTTTACATAGGCCAGTCGTTCGGTCTCGGACGGGCGATCATAACGACCATAAATTTCACGTAATTTACGAAAAACAGTCTTCACAGAGCACTGATTTTGGAAATAAGTTTCTACAATTTGTAACCGTTGTTCCGATGTCAATTTTTCCATGATGATTTGGTACGCTTTTCTGATTAGAACTGACATTTCGAATTGTCAAATCTACTTAGAAATGTCAAAGTTATCCCTATCGGAAAAACAAAACTCCTAAAAAAACACCCTTTACATCGTCTTGTACTTTAAAAATCTACCGATTTCATTTGCATCGTACTAGATGTACTCCAATAAAACTTTTTTCTAGTAGAAATATAATTGATTTGCGGAACTAATATAATTTAAATTATATCTAATTTCAAAAGATAAAAATAGCAACTTTATAAGGCATCAGTTTCAGCAGAAAAGTCGCCATCAAAAATCGATTATTTTATCATTTCCCCTTTACTGTAGAATTCATTTGACCCCAAATGGGTTTGAAGTTTCTTTTCCCTTAATTTTTTTTATCAAAATACCAGATGTGAACTCCAACTCAATAAAAATAAAATCTACCACTCGGCAACGGTTGATGACGAGGATTAAATGTACTTATTTGATGGTTAACTGTAACATTACACCAAGCTAGATTCCGATTACATTTGAACACACACTCAACTGTCCTTTTTTTTAATCGACCGAGACTAACAGTGGTTGCTAATTTCAATTTTTTTTTTCATCGTTTGAATTGCATTTCTATCAGTTTGGTATTCTAATATTACACATTTATTGAAGTGTTATAAATCTCTTCTTGACTTATTTCCATGAAATACAAAACTGCGGGAAGCTAACTCAAATAATATAATAATGTAGGAATCAAGTCTCGCTAATATTGATGTAAATGAGTGCGTTTAGTGTTTTTTGTGCTATTTTCTTTGGCGCCGATATATTGTTATTATTAAATCTGAAAAATTACCTACCCAGATTAGCGAGTCTTGGTTGAAATGGTGAGAATCATATTTGTAAGTTTGGGTTCACACTTTTTCACACCCTGTGAATATCTAATTAAATGTAGTGGCGTTAATTTTCAATTGCAATTGTTGAGTTGTTGTCTCAAAATGATTTATACCGATTTATGTATGTTGTTGATGATGTGTGCAGTTGGACTCCTTTCAGGTGATGGACTTAAAAAAAGGTAACATTCAAAAAAGAGAGGCTAGATCTATTTTATGATCCTTCAACATCGTGTGCATAAACAGCATTTACCCGAAACGAATGAAAAATGATTCATCGGAATAATTCATATGCAAATGATAACCATTTATTTCAATTCGAGTTGGTTTGAGTGCATAATTTATTTTTTTATGCACGTACAAGAGAGCCAACGGTGTTCAATGATGATGTTACACAAGCACCCAGTAAACTGTGATTCAAATACAATACAATACATATATTTTTCCTTATTGCCACCCCAGAAATTACATACAACTCAATTGTAAAATATTATTCTGTTTATTTGTTTATCTCTTTTTTTGTTATAACTTTCATATATTATTATTCTATGCATGTTATGCAGTCACCAAATAAAAGTTTAACTCGAAAAAATTACGTAAAATAATTGGAAAATTTGATTACAAATTTTTAAAAAGCGTAACAAATGCACCAAACAAACAAACAATTGAAGATGAAACTTTGTTGTGAAGAAAAGGTCATATAAGGATGGACTAAATCCAAACCGAAACTATGATGTAGATAGTAGATACAAAATATGGATATCTTGAAAAGTTAGCATATGTTATAAATGTGCCGGTAAAGTTTCCGTATATACGGGGATACGCATTCGAGAAGAGGTATTTAAAAATTTAATGAGAGGTAATGAACGCATGTGATTTGAATAAAATAAACATTAGAGATGCACATCGGAGAGAATTCAAACACCATGGACGATCTGAATAATGTTTTGCAATAAAACTGAATGTATGTGTACATATGTGCGAAACATTAAAAAAGCATGTTGAATGAATGAAAACGTACACACAGAGAGTCTATGACAGTCACAGACTAAAAACGAGTTAGATGGTATGGTAAATGAACATAGTATTTATCTGTGACATATTTAATAAGTGCATCTAACAATTGTTCTGAAGTGCCATCGACTAGTTTTTGGTGCGATGCAGCGAATTCAACGAGAAAACGAGGCATAAACAAAAATCAATGTATATTACAAACAAAAAGTACACACATGGGCAAAACTATATATATATTGAAAGCAAAAATTGATTATGAGGCGAATGCAGACAGTGCCGCGAGTGGTAGAGTATACTTGCTTGGTATTCTGCGCTGAGCAGAATGACGGGGATAGAGAAAAAAATATATGATAAATTAAAACAAATTCTTTGTTTTGTTTTGCTTTTTGTTGAGGGGTAGCCGAGTCACTAATTCTTGTGTGAACAGTAACTTGTTGGAATACTGTATATAATTCTGATACGCCACAACCAATCGTTCAATTAGGTGCAAAGTACTGTGCTCGCCACTCAATACATTTGTTATTATAACATTTTTTGATGAGCACGTTTGAACGAAACTGCATACCGTTTTATTTCTTGTTCATCCATTGTGCGCCCTAAAGGGCGAGAGCTAATTGAAGCTGTTTTGTACATATGTTAGAGTAAACAGTATCCCAAATCTAATGTTTCAACATAAAAAACTATATAAATTCAACCGTTTATTCAATTTTATGCGCAACCAAAATGCACAATTTAAACAAAATCAACAACCGTTTCAACATTCCAAATGTTTAAGACGAAAGCGCGAGTTAGATGATGAGACAACGTGTATCGTGCAAATGTAGGCGTTTCAAACCACCGCTTCAAACCACACAATATTTCTAAGATCCAATGAAAGCTCTGATAAGCTGCGCGCATACTCTTTTCAATGCTTAGACAAATATCGTTCCATTGTAACAGTAAACGCTAGCAACGATTTCGATTGGTGAATTTCAAACAAAATAAAAGAAAAAAACAAATAAAAATGCGAAAAAATAAGAAAAAAACACATACAACATTTACATGGTTTTTACATTTTAGCAAATGTGTTGCTGTTTACTCATTATTTCTAAGCAATAGCTGCTCACGTTTACTTTCTTTTTTCATGCATAATGAACAAATCAGCATGGGATCATTTGAAAATATTCGGAAGCACATTTTTTTAAAATTAAAACATGAGTAATTGAAAAAAAAAAAATATAAATTTAACAAGTTTTTCTTTACAATTGAATTACTAATTAAAATATCAATGTTTGAGACGAGTTCAGAATTAATTGATAAAAATGGGTAAGTAATCTTGTGAATAAATATTTTTTTTAAATATTTGATGAAAGTTTCACAAATAATAAGAAGCTAAAAAATAAGGGCTTTGATAATTTGCATTTTATGTCAGCTCATAGTTTTAAATTTGGAAATCTACCCTTTAAATATCACCCAAAATCAATGATTGAATTTCTTATTGGCATTTTGCTTATCCAACTGTCAAAAGTGTTCTTTGTTCGTTGAGTCCAACAGGTTGTTGATCCGTGAGACGAACAAAAATTTTTTGCGATAAAAAGCGGAACATGCCAAAATAACTGACAGCGTTCAATTCAAAATGTTCCAATTCGCTGGTCATTTAATGCTGACTACAAATAATATTTCAAATGTCTATCAACATCTTCACATTTATTCAATTGTAAATAGCATTTCGGTTCCATAATCGTAGGTGTAACGATCAATTCAACTAAAACAAATGCTTATTCAAAAGTAAAATGTTTCCATATTCAATTATTGTCGGGAATACTCAACGAATTTCGAATTGGATAATTATCGTGAGCGAATAATTTTTTTTTGCAAATGCTGTTATTATAACCACAAACTCGGTGCTAATTTTTGCCGAATAATAATATGATAAGACCATTTTCTTGGGATTTGTTTCACACAAAGTTAACAAATAAATAACAAAATTAGAAGATCACGTCCATTTCTTATAGCGCATACAACAAGCTGTCACTAGGCGTGGCTACTAGAGAAAGCAAAAACACTGTACCGGCACATATCACACGTTCTCCTTATGCTGTCGATTCGTTTGTCAACATGCGCGTTCAAATCCTCTCCTTCGGTCATTTTCATTTTCATATATGTGTGGCTGATGTTGTTGTTGTTGGCAAAAACACTTATCCAATGCTATTTCCATGTGCGTTTTTAGTTCAAATGTACACATGGCATGAGCATCTCGCATTTCGATTCTCTTTTTTTGTGTTTACATATATTAGGATTTGGTTTGGTTGTTGTATGTTACTTTTGGAAATCTTGTGTTTGGGCTTTGATGTCTTTATTTTACTCAAGCTGTGAATTGAGTTGCGCAATCCACCAAAGAGAAAAAGAAGGGAAAATCTGATGTTCACACGCATTTTCCGTTTTACTTGTATGTTGTTTGGTGATCTGAATCTTTGTTTCAGACACGATAACCTCATCCAAACGATTTCGCGCGTGAACTTTTGGTGAAACATACCGTAATTAAATGATTTTATTTACTGTAATTGCAACATTGGCCTTTTAAACGATCAAACTCAAGAACAATATTTTGAAATTTTATAAAATAAGAAACAAATTGAATAAGATTTCAGAATTTGTATGAATATCGTACACAGAGTGGAGTGTTCATCGTAACCGGCATTTTCTTCAGTGTTGACAATTTCAAAAGTCTACCAAATAGGTAATATTTTCCCGTGAAAAGTGTATGTTTCAATTACAAAATTTTGTTTTATCACTTTTTTTATATATATTTTTTACATCAAGTGTTCCGTATTTAAAAGTGATCTGGTTGTAAAAATTTAGTTTACGAATAACTTGCGTGAATTGTGAACAACACTCATCGCGTAAATACGTTGAACGACCAATCTCCATTTGAAGTCTATCGTCACCACATGCCGTCGTCGCTTGTGCGCTTCATGTGCATGTGTGTGAGTGTAGTGTATCTCGCTTGTGTCTCGTTTGTGTGAGATGAAGGAAGGGACTATGTATGTGTATGTCTGATATTGTCGAAACGACTATTTTATATGGTTAATAACATATCAGCGGATTCAGTTGGGGTTTGCCAGTCACTCGGGACGAACGCGTTTTCTCTGGAGATAATTTTTCCGTGTCGTCATGCTAAAACTACAATTGTAAAAATATCCTTGTGCATTTTCATCAATGAAAATCTTAAAAAATATATATATATATATATCAATTCGAACGGAAAACATTTTTCGTTGACATCAAATTTTTCAAACTTCCACCGTGAAAACTAGATTCATTCGATTATTTTGTATATTTTCCCTTCGTATATTTATTTAATATCATAAAGTGTTTTAAAAAAAAAATCAACAATATAGATCAGCGAATCGAAAAAAAAGTGTTTATTAAACAAAAAATAAAATCAACAGATTATAACTAGAATTATTAATTGCGAAAGTTAACGTCGAAGAATCTATTAACCAAAAACAAAAAAAAAAAGTAATAAGTGAGATATATTTTTTTCGGCGTGTGTTAAGATTTTTCCAATCGGAATAATATTATACTGACGAGAAGTGTTGAAATTGATTCGCCACCATTTATTTTTGTGATCAAGTGGTTGATAACGGCTTAAAGCTGCGTTCTGACGAACCAGTTCCGGGCTGTTTCAGCTCGCCGTCACCATGGCCAACGCTCGAATTGGAATGGGGACGAAAACTATATCCATCATCAGGACCACGAGGAAGCAGTTTAATGTTCAGTTTACCACCAGGTAGTGACTTAAACCAAAATCGGGGCACGATCACATCACTTAAAGAAGAACCACTTGGCACCAGATCGTGGATGCAACCAACACAACAAATCAAGTGAGTAAAAAGTAATTATAACAATGATTATTAACTAGTTCTGACAGTCAACACCAATTAAGATCAACGATTTTACTTTTTTCGCTTCCATTAACACTGAACAAATTCTTAGTCAGTGCTATATAATAAATAAGCTCTATATCAGTCATGAAATTTGAAGATATAACTTTTAATAATAATACAGAATGAGAAAAGAGAATTGAATGCGAAAAATGGACGGAATTCAGGGATTCAGACGGGGAAGATGATAGGCTTTGGTTTTAATTTCATTTTTATAATATTTATATTTATTAATATTGTTGAAGACACTTCTCTTCTATCTCTTGTCATACATTCACAAAAGGCATGTGTTCGAAAGCACGACTTCGGCTATTCCCACTTTTATTCTCAACCATACAAATAATGAACAATTTAAAAACCAATGTATATTCAACATTTTATATGATGGCCCGCTGAATCACAGAATAAATTTTAAACTTTAGTTAAATGTTTTTACGTTATTGTAAATTGCAAAAAATAAGCAAAACACAAACATTTACGCAATTTTTTGTGTTTAATGCAAGAATGGTGTAGTCCTCCTCTCAACAGTTTTCAAATAATATTTAAATTTTTTCGGCACATTTTTTCATATAAATTTGATGATAAAAGATAACAAGTGTTGTCACCACCAGTAAAATAGTAAATATTGATGTCAATTTCTGTTACACTTTATTTCATTGAAATGCATTTAGATATGTCTAAAACTAGTTTAATTATCTGGTAAAAATATATTGTTCATACGAAACGAAATAAATAACATGGTCGGTCGAAAAATAGAAAAATAAAACGAAAAATTATCAAAAAATAATTCAAATTGCAACATCATTTTTTTTTTCGGTACAGAAACAAACATTGTTCGCATATATTTTTTGTTGTAGATTTTTCATTCAAAAAATGTCCGATAAATTTCAAATGGTAGAGCAAAAAAAAGAAAAAAGAAATACAGAATACAAAAAAGCACAACAATATCCAAAAATAGTGAATTCTGGTTTTGCACAACAATAAAATAAATTGAGTTGTCGTTCAATACTTTTAGCTGTTAACATTCATTTAATTTTAATACAAAAAGTGTTATCGGTTTTTGTGCGGCCCTCCCCGAAAAATGATCGAATCGAATACGAATGAAAAATACCAAAAGCCTAATAGAATGCGTAACATAAACATTGATAGCCATTGATTATCACTCTTAGTGGATTTTTTATGTACGGAAGAATTAAATTTTTATACAGTTTGCAATATCATTAATAAACAGTATAATTTATGAATATTGCTATTTCATCTTGTTCATTCATGTAAAAAAAGACTCTCTGTGATTTTATCGCATCGAAACAATATGCATGCAACATCTCTAATAATGTAAAATCACAACATTGCACCAAAATTTCTTATACTAAAAATGAACATTCTAGACGCTTTGTCAGTTAGAAATAATGCAATATTTAAACCAGACCGAATTGTGTTTGTTTATCCAGAATTTTTGACAGCAATATTTTGTGATAAAATTCACAAAATTTTAGCCAACACGTTAACAAAAGCAATAAATCACCGAGCATCGATAAATTATGTTATCGTCGATGATTCGGATAACGTTGTTCTCATTTGCATTTTATACAAATTGTATAGATCCATTTTAATTTCAACAAATACGCTGACACGATGTCATTGTATGTGTCATCGAAACAAGTACTTTGCGTAATATTTTATCCTCTCTATTTTTTTTATTCATTCCGAATTACGTTCTTATCATAAACTAAATTGTCTATATTTTCGTGCAGACAGGATATAAAGATTTAATAATTAATTGAAATTATACGATAATCCACCCGTTGAAATGTTTACTACAATTGATTCGAGATATCGTTTACACGATTCTACGCACAACGCTTGATGCCATTCACAAAATATGGCAAACACGATACCATTCAGGAAAGGTGCGAACCAACTTACTGTTCAGACTTTAAATAAAACATTTGCACGTACAACCTTTATATCTAAGAAAGGTTCATTTCACTGTTATTCCATTCGATTCACGGTAGATGTATATGTACAAACATATACGTATATAAATGGCATCAAACGAGAATTTTTACGAGAAATGAAGTTTCATACGAAAGTGTTAATGAGACAAAAACACTTTCCACAAATGAACCAATATTCACTTAAGAATCATTTAAAATGATAATAAAGTGTTCACTTGAACATAAAATAATAAGATAAATTATTCTTCAATATTTGAAGTTACATATAGATCTTGATAATAATTTAATATGAAAAGTCACATCCCCAAGAAATATGAAAAGGTACGATTTTACTGTACGATGACTTATTTTACATTTGAACTTCCGTATTCACGAAGCCCGATCATGGTATAGGATTTGCTATATAAACCTTGTAACTAACAACACCTCTAATGCGTATTCCGAGTACTAATCGAAGTTTGTGACAATATGGCCGTCACAGTTTGGAAAAATCATAATGAATCGATTAAACTGCGTTCAACTGTTAAAATGAAACAGTAGAAATAAATATATTTTAATTTTTTACATTTTTGAAAAAAAATTTGTGAGATTTTCTGTCCACAATATTCAAAAATATTAAATTAATAAAAATGAATTACAAAACAAAATAAAGAATTTTTATTTTTTAAAATGTAAAAAATGAAAATATTTTTATTTCTACTGTTTTAATAATTATTTAATCGGTTTATCACGATTGTGACACAAAAGTGAGGTTATGTCAACCAATTCATTTTTATTGATTTAATATTTTTGAATATTGTGGACAGAAAATCTCACAAAATTGAAAAAACAAAAGATTTTTTATTTTCAAAAATGTAAAAAATTAAAATCTATTTATTTCTAGTGTTTTAATTTAACAGTTTAACGCAGTTTAATCGATTCATTATGATTTTGCCAAACTGTGACGGCCATATTGTCACAAAGTTCGATTAGTACTCGGAATACGCATTAGAGGTGTTGTTAGTTACGGGCATGATCAGGCTTCGCGTATTCATCGTCGATTTGCGATAGAATTAATTCGTCCAATGTTTGTTGGTATTGACACTTCAATGTTGTTTTTTTCTGTGGCATTGCAAAATCCTATCTCATTTTCCAAATCTCTCTGTCTGAGGTGGAAAATGCGGAGATTTAACTGCGGCTAATGATTCGTACTTTAAACGCTGCGTTTCACTTCGGAACATATATCAGATTAAATTACCGTTTGAATGAACTGGAAAACACTAAGCGTGTCGCACTTGATAGTCAATCTGTTTTATTTAACTGGTTTATTGTTTCTGATAACGTCCTTTCTCACCCACGTGTTCCTCTCTGTTCGAACCGAGTTTGACCGATTTTAATTTCCATATACACCAACCGACTCCGTAGTTTGTCTAAAATTGTCCACAAGCCACTATGTGGCCATCCGAATATCGTCGATAGATACAAGAGGAATGAGGCAATGTCTATATTTGTGCACCAAGCAATTGTTTCATTTTGTTCAAAGTTACGGTCTTTTTGGTTGGCAGTATCCAATATTTTTGGGGGGTCGAAAGTTTGCATTGAACAACATTGTAGAGTATAACAATAATCCAACGAATGTAAAATGTGTTCACTGTTATTCTATAATCTGTTTATTGCACATCACCCTTTGACTGTGTTGATAAAACATTCGATCGTGAATTATATTTTATAACTCATTTCAATACACAGATGAGTTTACGGTTTATTTGTTTCTGGTGTTTGTATTTCCTGCTACTCAACTCCAATTATTGAACACTCAAAACCAATTGTTTGTTTTACAAATCGATGCCAAAATAATAATCTTGGATTGTTATATCGTTGAAACGTCAACAACTGCCGCAACACAATATTATTAGTTCGACTTCTCTTTTTTTTCGAGATTCATCTCGAATTTTTGTTGTGACAATAAAAATGATAACACTATTTTGTATTTTGTAAATGGAAAATGATAAACCGTTTAGTGCAACATGTGGAAAATATTGGCATGATCAATAGAAATATGAGACACATGGTACTTATTGTTTATCATACGAATGGAACAACAAAAACATTTAATAAAAACAAGAATGACATTATTATTAGGTAATTCGTAACAAATAAATGTGTTATTAAAACAGTATGCATCAAGGAGGAAACCACGGATTCTAATATGTGCTAATTTTTTCTAATATTTCTAATAAAACGCTATATAACATGTACATTTGACATCTTTCTAATATGTTCTAGTTTTTCTAGTATCGAGTTCGTGGGTAACTCCAAGGTATGCATCTATCAAAATGATGCGATTTGAAATGTAAACATTCTTGTTTGTTCAACAAATACCACATACAAATATTTTCTTTACAAGGGGTATAGAATTTCTATATATATTATTCAGGTGAAAATACCCCCTGAGCCATTGATATTTTTCTTCAACTACCTTTTCCGTCTTTTTTTTATTACAAATTTTCGTGTATGTTACTGATTATTCAATTTAAATGGATTGACACAAAAAAGCAGTATTGAAAGATTTATACACAACGATATGAAAAAGAAATTTGAAAGAGATCCATGAGAGAAATTGTTTTTCCAAGGGGGTAGAGACGAATTATAAAACATTGAATCATGTGAATCACTCAAATGTCAAATAAGCATCATTCATGGTTTTACTAACATGATCGTTCAACAAATTTTAAATATTATCGTTAATTTTTTTTTGGAATTTGCTAGAAAAACACGAAATAGATAAAAATAATGAGTTAAAAAAAACGTCAAGAAATCATTTTTTCGAAAACAAATAATTTTAATTGTTCAATAAATATTTCTTGTATGACACACAAATGACATTTCAAATGTCATCTAAACAATCTGAATCTTTTGAATCACAGTGAATCAGATGAATCATGTCTACCCCCTAGTGTTTTTCATTCACCGATCACTAGATCATTCTATTTTTTTTTTTTCAGACAAAAAGGAGATTGGATTTGTTATTTAAGTTATTAAAATATTTAAAAATAATTCATAAAATTAAATGATAAAATCGATTAGTTTATTAACTATAAAACTATTTCTTTTGCTTTGTTTCAAAATAGTCTTGGTATTGGTCGTGCACATTTTGAGAAACAGCCTCCAAGTAATCTGCGAAAATCAAACTTTTTCCACTTTGTGATTGCACTGTATGATCGAAGCGAGCAACCAATCGAAATCGAACGTACTGCCTTCATTGGATTCATAGAAAAGGATCAGGTAAAATGAGCCATTTTTAAATAAAAAAAATTTCAGAAAATTATATGTGCACATAATTCGTTCGAAATGACGTTAAATAACATCAAACATATGGTTTTTCTATTCAAATAGGAAACTGACAGTACAAAGACAAACAATGGCATTCAGTATCGGTTACAGTTACTCTATGCGAATGGTAAGTGTTTTTATGTTAAATCCAAACAATTATGAACCTTCTATAAAACTATATGCAAAAGTATAGCGGTGTTATATAAGGCATATATCAATTTATTTGATCATAATTAAACTGAAATATATTTAAATGAATAAAAAAAACGTCGACTCGTGCACCTGAGCTACAAATGTGCACACATGTGTTTAATGAACCGCAATTTAGTTTAATCATTATTAAATTAAAATATAGAGACTGTTTCAGTGACCAACATAAATTCAACAACTGGTATAATCGGCTCTCGGCTCTCGGCTCGAGAGAGTCTCTCTATATATACGATATAAATTCAAAGTATTGTAAAATTGCCACAGTCAATGAAATTATAAATAGAAAATCTTTTTATGAAAATAGTAGTAGATCAAGAAAATGAGGTGATTTTAAAATTGACCACTATAAAATTAATTTCGAAAAACAATCGTTTGAATAACAAAAAAAAAAAAGATTAATTTTTAAATGTACATTTGTGCTCAATATTCTGTAATTGGAATTCAACTAAATCAAACGTTTATAGTGTTAGTGCATTTACGCCACAAGTACCCATTTCCAAAGGGTCAAAACATTTCCTACTCATTGTGTCCGTTGCTTGACAGTGGCTGTGCAAATTTGGTTGTATATTGTCCGTGTCACATCTATACAATCGAAATAAAATAACGATATATTAATAATGAAACAAAACGACGAAACAAACGGTTATGTCCGTCTGAATGAGATGGAAAATGGAAAAATTTCATTTACTCGAAATATATTTTAATAAAACATTTTCAGATCGTTCAATAATATGAGTCCCTAGTCGCCAATTTAAAATATTATACATATTATATATTTTTTGTTATTGTTCGTTGTTAACATATGTAGAGTCTGTTGACGAGTGAAAAGGGTTGATCGAAAAAAATGAGACAGAAAACAGGAAAGTTACAAAAACAAAACAAAAAATGTATATAGCGATAAATGGCAAAAACCTATAAATTACGTACGACACGCTCACTTCTCATCATTCTGCGTATTGAAATTTACGTAGTTGTCACATATAAAAATCATAGGCGTTCACTTCATTGTTTAAGGCGACGCTTGTATCCACTATCTAAGATAAAAAAAATACTAACGTGTTTTCAATCGCCAATCGATCATATTAAACTAAAGTCTGTTCACTTTAAGACACTATTGCTTAATCATATGAGAATATTATGAAAATCTAAAACATGTATGTGGTCAAAAACATATGGTCCTATGTTATTCATCAGAATAAATTGTCTCAAAAAAACTTTTAATTATGATTGTTCAAACTATAGTTTAAATCTCGGAACCAGATTTTGTGTGTGTTTTTTTAAAGTTGTGTCAGAAAAATTGTTATCCAACAACAATCTTTATGTTTGTTTCTTTATTTTACTTAGTGTTCTACATAAACTAAAGTTATGGTTCCGTATGGCAATCGAATTTGTATAGAATAGAATGAGATGAATTAAATTAGATACAGATACTGTATTCAGCGTAGATTGTTGATCAATTAAGAATGATTGTAAAACTGATTCATGCATAAAATGTGTTATTATATTATATATTATATTTAAATATTAATATGTGTTACAGGTGCTAGGCAGGAACAGGATATATTCGTACGGCTAATAGACTCACAAACGAAACAGGTAAGACACAAATAATATTTAATTTCCATACAAGAAAAATCTTTATTTTGATTTTTGGCCGGACATTGTTGTTTTTTTTTTGAACATTCAATTAGAAAAATCACTTCATCATCGTGCGGCCATCTATGTGCTGCATTACATATATAAGATCTGGTTTATTAATAGTGAAGTTGTTGGAATTGTATGGCTGTTATAAGGTCGAATAATTTCGGAATAATATTCATTTATTTTGTGATTCTCAGTTCATGGGTAATTGGCTCGCACTCAGTATATGCTAACAAATTGAACAAGGCCTGATTAGGATATAATAAAAAGAACACATGTTCCATTTCGTATCATGTTACAAACGATAAACAGCAATCAGTTTGAACAAATGTACTTGTTTCGACCAGAAGGTCACATCGACGAATTACCGAAACCAAGACGAGCAACTTAAAACATTCAAGAGAATCTCGCATTCGCAAGTGCAAAGTGACATTCGAGAAAAAAAAACATATAGCCACTTTTGCCAAATAATTGAAAACTAATCTGAAATTGAAAAAAAAAACCTAAACTTGTCACTTGACTAACGACTTCTCGTTTGTATGCGTTAAAAATATTGATTCGTTTCGAAATTTCTCTATTCATCTATTGCTGGTGTTATTTTTTTTTAGACATATGGTGACGCATTAACTCAATTTTCTACACAACGCATATATTACTCAGTTTTTATACACATCGAGTGGGGTGTTTTTTTTTTTGCTTCTTCATTCATATCAAAATCCATTGTTATTGTTGCTGTTGTCATTTTATTTGGTGTGCATAGTAGTGCAGTCGGGCGCGCGCATCACTGAAACAAAACTAAAAAGAATCACAAAATCAACTTGACGAAGTAAAACAGGAGAGATCAAATAGATTTTTGAGTACTTTAGATAAACACAGCATAACAGGAATACAATAAAAGCAAACGACATTAAATGTGTACGTATACGTATGATGGCACACGCACTCGCCCTTACAAGATGATGTTTGCTCTTTCCTTTTTTGATATCGGTGTAACATTTTTATTTGATTTTCAACTGCTGTGCCGGAGTACAGTCCATTCATTGCAAATAATGGGCAGGAATAAGTTTTGCGTGTTTACAATGAAAGGGGAAGGAAGCAATACTATAATTCTTTCACCATTTTGACAAATTTATTTAGAATATTTTTAATTCAAAATGCACCACGATGGCATACTCTCGAATGTTACCTGCCATATCAAAAGAAATCCTCATCACTATCTGAAGTTTGCAAAATATTTTATTCAAACACTGCATCAATTCTCTTGCTGTATCAAAATGTACGTAAAACTGGGTAAGAATGTGTATTATACAGTAAAAAGCACAACTAAAGCAAATTATACAATGTTTAGTAGGAAATAATTGATTAAGATCTTCAGTTTTCATAACAGGATCGCACGAATCGGTTGTTCATATGTCCATACCTATAAATTATACGAAGAGAGCAGTGAGTTCCCCCTCACATTTTACTTCATTAGAAATGTTGGTACACATTTCTAATCGGAAAATAATACAGTCGACGTATTGACTTGGTATGGTTGACTGTGGCATATAACGCACACACAAAATGCGTGTGCATTTTACCATCAATGCGATTCGTAAAGGTTGCTTTTTGATGGTATTCGTTTCATTCGTTGAGCTAAATCTATTGTACTTGTCGATTGTTTATTAAATCCAACAGCATTTCGATTTTGGTTTGGAATAGAAGCCAAATTATTTCTAACCAACATAGTAATATTAAATTAGTTTTAGCGCAAAGTCGACTACATTCATTTCAATTCTTCCTAGTCATTTTTGGCCAGTAAATGATTTTGAACTTGAACTTTTTTTTCTTGATTTGAATAGAAAACAAATATTTAAGGATAATAATCACAAGCATTAAACTATTCGTAGGAAATATACGTAAACAAACATTATTCATATTCGGTAAATATTAGCAAAGCTATCATGATACTATACCATGTAAACAGGATTTCATAAAACCAATTCGTAACCTTTTTTTGAAAAAACAAAAGAAGAAGAACAAACTCAAAACGATGCATTTCAATTAAAAAAATATATTCTTTACCATTAATTTGTACTGAACTGAAAGTAAAATATTCAATTTAATGCACAGAATTTGGAAAATTCTTACATTGAAAGTACCTGTTTATCTAAAAAATGGTTTAAGTTGTTTTATAACCAATTAAACTTCTAGTCAATGTTTGAAATAACCGAGTAATGCGCTATATGTTTTATATGAAAACGTCACACGAATAATATTGTTGACATATTTTCACGATGACAGCTATTTTTGCGGTACAAAATTGACCCGTTTGAATGATTTGTCAATATTGAACAATTGAACATACTCTACACACATGGGGAAACAGAGATGGCGTTGTCGTAGCATGTAGAAAAATATATGTTTAACGCAATATTCGGCTTGTTTGAAATAATCAATCGCCATTATAATGGTAACGAAAGTACAATCCACACGTCAAACAATAAAGAGAACACTAAAAGTGATTCGAAGGTTAATAGAAAACGATTATCGTCATTGCTCACATTTTATTGTTTGTTATTAAATAGAGTATCTATTTTTCCATTATGTGTACGGACACGGTGCATACGTTGTTGACAAACGATGCTGAAATGTATCGGTCTATATAACAAGGCATGCCATATGCACTTCGTGACTCATAAACATCAAACCATGAAGACGAACAAATTTTGGAACAGAGAGAAAAAAAATTATTAGTTTGAAAATGCAATCGGATATTGCGGGAGAAATAGTCAAACTTGTAAAACACGCATATTTTTCTCTTCGCTTTTTTTTTTATTCCCATAACACATTTACAACAAACAAGGCAACACTCCCACAAACGCCCCTCGTACCCATAAAGGCCAATCAGTTTGATTAAATTTAAATATTTAAATACAATTAGTAGATCACGTGACCACCAACGACACGTGGATGCAGTTTTGTCGATAACATTTTTAATGCAATGCTTCGAAAATGAGTAGCACGCGTGATTGTGCATCGCAAAGTACCGCAATATAATTATTCGACAGCATATAAGTGGTATATGTGTTGTGCACCTATGTCTACGATCGTATTACTTGTTTAAACAATCAAATCTCAAATGTATGTATTTGTCTTCATTGCTTGTTATGTATAGATGAATGCGAGTAATTGAATATACATTATGAGCGTGCATTCGATGTAGTTGTTGTTATTGGTATTGCTGCTGCTGCAAATACTGCTAATATAAAGAGAGTTATACAGCTTTAATGTTGTAAAAGTCAATTTTCCACACACTAAAAATATTAAATCTTTTATGTGTACAATGTACATTGTGTAATTTTGCTATGCAAACACAAAAAAAAGTTATGCAGAAGAGCAAAAAGAACATTGAAGACGATGGAAGAGAAAATAAAATAAAGTCATATTCATTAAATCAAGGTTTATCAAATTATAAAATTTATTGAAAAAATTCATTAAAATTTTGAATTTTATACATTTGGCCTCTATTAGTGACTACACTGAAACATAAACGAGTGTCCTATGTGGCGGTACTGTATTTGACTTCATTAAATACTTGAATTGTGGTAATATTATTTGTAAGATTTTGTCACTTTTCTGCTCTCTCTCTCTCTCTCTCTCTCTCTCTCTCTCTCTCTCTTTCTTAACTTTTAAATAATTACAAACATTATCATGTTTGGGTAAAAAATACAATAGCCACATACACACACATACACACTCACACACAAAAACGAATTGGTTTGAATGATACGAGTACCAACCGAAAATCAGAACATATGAGTGTGGTTGCTAAGGGGAAAGGGAGCGCAAAATGCATTTACAGCCCGACCATATGCACAAATATAAACATTTAATTCCAATAATAACGAGGAATTGTTTTCATAATCGTAATATAAAAGTAGTAAGACAAGAATGATGGAAACGCTCATACACAGGCTCAGGATTACCGCTATCGCTATTACTTACATTTCGATTATAATTTTGAAAGGCCAATATTATGTGTGTGTGAGAGTTTTTTTTCTGGTTTTTTCCTTCGTTGCCACGACAAGTTGCTACTAACAAGCTACTAGTTGAAAATGGTTATTGAAAATATGATAAGCCATTCGATTGTTTTCTGCTCGGTTTGTACATTTTTTCATCATTATTTTGGTGCGTAAATCAAGCCAGATGTGCAACTGCAACACGATATCACGTTGACTATCTCTTTCTACTTGCTATGAAAATATTGACAATAATCTTCTTATTTTGTTCATAATTGATGTTTTGTTGCGCATCTGAGATTTATCATTCATTTTTTTTCCATTGCATTTTTACCGCTACTTGTAACTAACCCCATGCAACTTTATTTAGGGTTCATAGCGGTCACCCGTTTTGTTATTTTATTTTATTTTTAATGTATGTAAAATTAAAATCGGATTTGACTGGGTTTTGTGCTACTCTCACTTACAGTGGGCTTTCAAGGCGATCGGATTTTGCGAGCGCCATCTCTGAGTCCCAATGCAAACCAAAGGGAAACTTTACACACTTGGGTATTCGTTTATATATTTGTCAAACATTGATATCTGTCAAAAGAAACAACGTAAACAACACGAAGTGAATATTTTTCTGGTGAACTATAGGTATTATTGTGATTATTGTAAATAAAAAATTAAAAATGTTGTTATTTTTTTTCAAAAAATCTTTGCGCAAATCTGCGATTGCATCTAGAACTGAACACAAGACATGCTAATTACTTGAATCTAATTTTGTTTTTCTCTCGATTTCTTTCTTCATCTCTTAGTCAAATCAATAATTTTTCATTGACATTATTAACATTAATAAAGACCAATTTATTTATTTTTTTTCAACGCTTGTAATGCACCCAATATGATTTTTTTTTTCAGCAAAACTCTCTATTTGATTGGCAAACCCGGCAATCCAATACATTATAGAAAATTATTGGTATTCACGAGAATGAAATTTATTTCCTTTGAAATGGAAAATTTGTAACTCACTGAACTCACTTTTTATTTTGTACGCAAATTCGCTGCTATACTTAAATAACAATGATTTCGATATTCCGATGATAATTTGATGATGTCACATTTGTCTTTCCGTAATGTCAATGTAAATTTATGATTTGACTAAGAGATGAAAAAAAAATTCGAGAGAAAAACAAAATTTGATTCAAGTAATTAGCATGTCTTGTGATCAGTTCTCGATGTAATCGCAGATTTGCGCAAAGATTTTTTGAAAAAAAAGAACAACATTTTTAATTTTTTATTTGCAATAATCACAATAATACCGATAGTTCACCAGAAAAATATTCACTTCATGTTGTTTACGTCGTTTCTTTTGACAGATATCAATGTTTGACAAATACATATTTTCTACAAAGCAAAGCAAAGCTACCTCATAACACGAGAATCATATAATATAAAATATTTGTGTGTTTTTTCAATTTTGTTGTTTATAATAAATTCTATTAATTATTTTCGTTATTATACTATTGCAAAACTTATTCAATTTATACAATTTTGCAATTTTGTTTGCAAGAAAAAATATATGAGAATCTGGCGAGAAAGAGATGGCGCTTCTTAAATCGAGTCGCGTTCAAATACATTGTCAATATACAACGCAAGTGATACTCGGTTTTGTGTGTAAGAGTAGCTTATTATAGATGCCATACGTTTAAAATGATCAACCAGAAATAGAATCAGTGATGCAACATAAGAATTATCTTTCTTATTAATTTTGTGGTTATTTAAATAGAAATAGAATAAAATCCATCTTATTAGATATTTGAAAAGATACAGATGAACCTACAAATATTTTAATTTCAAAAATTAAAATACTTCACTGTTAAACGTAAAATAATCAATTCAAATTGATGTTCATAACGAAGTACACAGATTTCACAACAAAAGATGGCCAACAATTCTTAGCAAAAAAAAACTTTCACTGGTTTATTCACCAATATGTTTATTACAGGCCATTATTTACGAAGGACAAGACAAAAATCCAGAAATGTGTAGAGTTTTACTAACTCATGAAGTCATGTGCAGGTATGTACTATAATATTTCATAGAATGGACCTTAAGTGGTCAAATAAATAATAAGCTAAAAACTTTATTTCATACATATTAGTTACTAAGGCACTTTCAATTTTAATTTGGAAAGGTTTCTTTCAAACTTGTACTGCACATGTGTTAACAATAACGCAATGCATGAGAGAATGAGAAACATTGGAAGAGCCTTCTGGACAAGAGTTATATTTTTACACTTTCGGTTTTTTTTTTCAAATAGAAACTAAATGTAATCGAAGCAAAATCGAAGATTTCAATTTTTTTTATTTATCTTTATTTCTTGATAGTCGATGTTGTGACAAGAAAAGCTGCGGAAACCGAAACGAAACGCCGTCAGATCCAGTGATTATAGATAGGTATGTAAAATAAAATTAATTTAAATCGTATGAAGAACTTGTGGTACCAAATGTGTTTGTCTTTTGTTTGCACATTAGCATCGATTTTTGATGAATGTTATGAAATGTACATCAAGTGCTTGATGATGTGTTTAAGCTGGAAAAAAAGTTATGCTATGAGATTAAAGTGAAATATGATAATGTGGAATTGAGATCATGACAATTTGATTTAACACATTTGACGGCAATGAATCGAAATTCAAATAAATGATACGGGAACATGAAACAAAACGAAAAGTCACTGAACATGAAGGTGTTGTAAAATCATAAAATAAGAGAGAAACGAAAATCGAAAGTAAAATGAGAAAGTCCGTAAAAAATGCTATACTTGTTGTACAACCACGAAGAAAAGGCAAATAAAATAAATCAAAACGTTGGATAAAATTGTTGTCGTCCTTTTTCGGTTTGCATTGTAAGAAAACGAAAGGGGAAAATATAACATAATAAATTCCTTGACTGTTATTTTCTTGCGTTCGCATCCATATGTGTGTATGGTCGCACCATAATAACCAATTTTCTATCGAATTTTTTTTTTCGTGAATCGATTCTCAATAAAAATGGAGTGTATTTGAAGATACAGACATTCTATTATAATCATTATTTCAAGAGTTGTAGAAGAAGCGTGCGCGAACGATGAGAGAAGAAAAAAATATAATAATACAGCATTTTTACATGCACACAAATTGAAATACATACACACAGATGAAAAGCTACCGATTAGAAAGTAAAATCAAAAATCAAACAAAAGAGAAGCGAGCAGCCTTGTTAGATTGCTGTCGACAAAAATGCCATAGATCCAATATATTGTATATATTTGAAACACAAGTGAAAAGCGCCTGAAAAGTCATGGCGAATGGAACGCAGAAAAAAAATTTAATTCAAAATAAATGTCAAAATAATGTGGATGTAGAAAAATCGGATAGTTTTTGTTTCGTTCCTTTTTTGTATGTCTTGCAAAAGTTAAAGATACACACGAATCACAATAAGAAAAGGACACTCTGCTGGTGCTATACAAAGAAGTAAAAAAAGCTAAAAATACACACGCACAATCATATACATACAGATATACAAAACAAAAAGAAAGAAAATAATAACAATAATAATAAGGGGCCATGTATTATGTATTCTGAATTTTCACTCGTCTCTATTACTTATGCTTTTGCTTTGTTGTTCTTGAAAATGCCAAACCACGCGGATTGAGATGCCTTTTGCCTTCGTGACGTACAATACACACAATATATACATATATAACGTAACACTTTATATACTATATGGAAATGCATGATTCACACAACGGATACTTCATTCGTAATGAATCTTCGAATCCCCCACGAAAAACCAGCAGAAAGAGAGACGTAGAGTTGGAAAGGAACGAAAAAAAATAATATAGAATCAACAGCAACATACGAAGCGGGAGAAAATCGGTACAATGATATTGGCGTTTTGCCGCTTATATACTACACCAATTTAATTCAGCTGACTTGACGATTGACTGCTTTTTTAGTGTCTTACAGTCGATATTTTGGTTCCGAATCCCAACAGCATGGCGAAATCCCAAAGCCACCCTTATTTTTTTTTGTTATGTATCTCTGTCGATCTATGTGCAAATAAAAATCCGATTGTATATAGATATGTGAGTGAATATCGTTCAAATACTATCTTGAATTGAAACTTCAAATGCTACTATGCTCTGTAATTCTTGTCTACGAACTGTCTTGTGCTTTTGTCAGTATGTCTGCGAGTGGTTATGTGTGTGTGTATGTAAGGTCTACGCATTAGTAAATGGTATCCATTTGCGAATATTCTGATTTTAGTTTGGAATGCCATAAAAAAAACTGGCGTATAAGGAATATATTGCAGAAGATAGCTCAAATTCAATAAATGTCACCGTTTAAAATTCAAATAAAATTATCAAATAAATACCAATCATACACAAGTAAAGACATATCGTTCTGTGATACCGGAGGATTCGATGTTTATTTTTTTGGAGCAATTAACTTCGACGGGAGGTGAAGTTTGACCTCTGGTCAGAATGTATGCCTTCATTGCATCTGAATCCTTTCTATGAAATAGTTTTCAACATCTGATGGACGTGAGTTGTATCGAAGAAACAACTTTTCAGAAAAATTCACTTCGGTAGAAAAAATTGTGGGTCAGCAAAAAATTGAAGCTTTGATAAGTGGCGTTGATAAAAAGATTTAATTTTCTCATTTAGGCAACAGAACGCCGATAAAGTACCCAAAAAAAAGGAATGACAAAAATATTTTAAAACAAAGTCAACGTCTTATACGATATTGAATCAAAAATCCATGGTTGTGAACAAGCTTAATCACAATCTTATTCGTAAAGTCAAGTCAGGTTAATTGCCAGAAATCTCCATTAATATCAATGCGACAAATGTGTAGATATGCGAAAAGACCGATATTTGGACTATTAATTTATTGAATTCAAAGGTGATTCAACAACATCGATACATTACAATCGATGTTTTCAGATGCTACTGTTGCTCTCGTAATGTGTATTGTCTGAATGGCTCCAAATATTTTATTTATATGCATTTTCCGCGTTGCTCCACGTTAACATGGTTAACAATGTTCTATTTTCATTGTCATTTTACCACCCTCAGATAAGTACCAAACATAGTGTTGTCATGGATATGTACACATCCATGTATGATTTTTTTATGTACCTATGTACAGGGTGACGATTATTACACATTTCCGATTTTTTTTTTAAATAACTTAATACATTGTGGTGTAAAGTCGTTTGTTGAAGCAAAAGTCAATTGAACACCCTATTCGTTACCTTGCGTATATACAGCATAACACACGTATATATATAAAAAAAAAACACAAATGCTGAAGAATTAAGTCAAAAGTGAGGATAACAGCAGAACATGTGTAGAAACTTTCTTCACTCTTTTTTTCCAACCAAATAAAATATGAGAAGAGGGGAATCAAATGGTTTTTTTTTCTTTTACAATTGCTTGTTCATTTACGTAATACGTTTGCATTCACAACAATTCAAAATTTATGTACGGAAACATGTCAGAACTCAGAACTGATACTGAATTTTGTGCTAGAAAGTTATTTCATCGATAAAAACGAGAGTATTTTGAGACTTTTTTTTAAATAAACATAAAGTTATCGGGGTCCAAGAAGATTTAATTTTATAACAACACATATACATACTTAACTGTCGTTTGTAACAGTCCCGATTGTCTTCAACTATTTCTATAGAATAATTATGGTTAAAAATCAAAAATGAGTAAATATATTCGTTACATTCTGAACAAAAACAAACGGTGTGCGTAAAGCTTTTGAAAAGCAATGAATGAGTTTTTCGTAAAATGCTTAAAAACGTTGATTTTGCAGAAATACAAAAATAAATTCTACTAATTTACCATGCTAATGAGAATGGCAATGGGTAAAAACCAAAATTTTACCATCTAATCATGTGTCCTCTATTATAACAATAAGATGACAAAATTGGCATTAAATTCAATTGGTTCCAATTATTCTTTAACATTGAACCGCGTAAATAAATCCAATTAATAGTCTATGTCGCATGAACGTAGAGCTGAAGAAGCATGTACAGTAGCAGCCGTAAATAATACGCTTTACTTGTATTAATAAGCTGAATAAAGGCGAACAATGTGAAAGCAGCGACAACAACACATCAGCGGCACCAGCGACGACAGTGACAAAAAAAACAACAACAGGAAGATTGAAGCAAAAATTCACAGAAAGTCAACAATCAAACGGAGAACATTGAGATACATGAATCTGTAACGAAGTATCCTCCGTGTCATTCATCCTTATAGTATGCTCGCTGACAAGCTACTATTGCTATATATATATGTATATACACCCGGGTGAAAATTTTAATATTTCTCGTAGTCGGACAGTTCTTTAAATGTTCTGCGTGACTCTAATTCACAACAGCGATAATGTGTTTGTGTAAACGTTTGCGACAATTGATTCAATGGAACGTTTTGTTTGCAGGGAATACATCCCATACGTATATGGGTGTGCTACAATGAGAAAGAAAAGTCAAAGATATAAAAACGTAGTGCACTAAAAAAACCTTTCGTACTATTAAGGAAATTTTGTTCAATTTGAGCGTATAAAAGTTTCAATATGTTCGTTCCACAAAGTAATTGTATCATGCGTCGAAATGAATACGTGTATTGATTTTTTTTTGTTGTTCGGTAGCTCATTCCACACAAGAGAAAGTCTATCACGATAGTGATTTTCTATGATTTGATTGTCAATTAAACGAATATGCTGTGATTATTTGTTGGATTTCCTCCTCTGTTCAGCACGTATGCATTTAATGTTCAAATACACCTGTGAGTTAAACAAAGTTTGTGGTCGCGATTGATATGATTTCAATTGTCAGACATGAATGTTTTTTTGCGTTGAAGTATGTCATCGCATTCTTTTTATTGTTCGCTTCATTGCTCTTAATTCATCTTATAAGAGTCATTTAAAATTAATGGAAAATGGTGCAGATGAAAATGATATTAATTTTTATAATTTAATTGTGGATTTTTTTCTTCTTCCGACTTCATGAATAAAACCACAAACATTCAATTTACTTGATCATGTGTGAAGTGGTATGTGTTGCAAAATGCGTAAAAGCACAATACGTATTTATTGAGTATTACTTTTGCTTTATCATCGTCGTGTCCATTAATTGCCTCGTGTGTCCGACACGCGCAACGTTTCACTTTGATTTTTGTGGAATAATTTATTAGCGATAAAGAACGATGTGCATTTTTTCATATATTATATGTAAGATAGAAGTGTAATACAATGAAACGATGGTAGCTAAAGGCTTACTTGCCATTTGCTATTTTCTATTGAATGTTATTGCTTTTCGCCTGCATATTTAAATAAATTAATAAATACATATTTGAATCACTGCCCACTTATCTTCAGAACAATGAAAAAGTTGCGTTTGAGGTATTTGTTATTGATTTAAACCATATGACAGCACGAACTGCTTCAGCTCTGCAGATGGACATACATGCTCAAACGTACAGTTGGTTTGACGCGGTGTGCTGCCTACACATCATCTATTCTTTCATCACTCGCAATGACACACATGAGTTCATCATTATTTCTATTTGTCGTTATTTTTTATTTTTTTCGTTTCAAGAATTCGAATGAGAAAATTTGCTACTTCCATTATTTGCAAATATACAATGTTTCAATGCGTCTTGTGGAAAGAACACAATATTTTCTCTTCTCGATTTTTTTTGTTGTTGCTAAAAAACTAAAAATAAAATTACAAGCTGCAGAATTATTGATCGCGGTGAAGTGAATTGGATTTTCAACGATCGCGAAAATGTGAAAAGTTCGGTAAACTAGATAAGTAGTGCTTGTTTGTCATTTGAAGTTACAATCGTAAATATGGATAACTTTTACTTAAACAAAGATTTGTTTTTATGGTCGTCATGGTTCATTGTTTACACGCCAATGGAATAGCAAAAATTAACAGTGAACCGGGAGAAAATAAGCAATAATAACCATCATCCAAATGAGGAGTAAAAACACACCGCCAATAAACATCATACCATAAAAATTGAATAAAATAAATAGTTCTGTGCAGCACAACACACACGGAACACAAGCAAAGCCAAAGATATAAAAAAAAATTGAAAAGAAGATGAAGAAGAAAAAAAAAATGATCACGTATAAATATTGCAATGGCCTAGCTATGTGTCGGCAATTGTATAAACGTGTCTTTTACTCAATGTACAGCGTTTTGCTATTTTTGTGTGTAACTGACATTAAATGTAGTCAGTGCAGTGACAGGAGCTCGTATCCGTGTTTGCGTGTGTCAGGCTTTTCAAATATGAATGATGTTCCGCCAAAGAGAGCGAGAGAGCGATTGCCAGATGATGCTAACATACGAATGATCAAAGAAAAATTGAATCTAAGTTGTGTACGCACTCACAATCGAATATAATGCCACCGACAAAAAGGACAATAATCACAAAATATGTAAATAAAACCGGTAGAGGCCAATATACACAGAGAGGGAGAGAGAGAGAGAAAGAGATAGTATGGACTTTAGGCGCGTGGACAACATATATAAAACAATGATTTCAAATTACCACACAGCCCGCAACTTTACTATGCCAATATCAATTGATGGCTTTTTGAAATGTATTCGATGTTCCAATGAATATTTCATTCCGTTTCATTTCAATCTCAATCTGACCATGAAAAATAAAATACTTCGCTTTTGTAAGAGTTGAGTGTGTTATCATCACCAAAGTCGAAAAAAAAAAGAGAGAATAAAAATGCATCAGTTATAAATGAATTATTGATTTTTATTTCCTAAATTTGATTGTATTAAACATGAGTGCTGATGTACAGATTTCAATAATCAATATACTAGTATATTATTTTTACTTTTTCGGCAGTTCAATATCATATATTTTCAAGATTCTTTGCAACCAAGAACATGGAATTGAAAGTCTAGTAATCTTAAGATAGCATCTTATCAATAAGCAAAAAAGGAAAAAAACATTTTTACAGATAGTCCAGATCTATGACATCTTCAGATGAAAAGTAAAATATATTGAAAATAATTCTTAACATAATATCCGGAACCAAATTTTTTAACTATAATATATTTTTAGAGTCATTAAGACTTTTGTTCTTCATATTGTTGCATTCGATCACATATATAAATGAATATCAGTCTCTTTTTGTAGCACTCACACACATTAACATATAGCATCTGTTGTTAAACGATGTTTCATTTTGCAAATTATTTTTTACATGCCAAATCTTTTTCTGGGACAAACATATAATTCTTAAGAGATTGGTAAGTGAATGTGTGTGTGAGTGTATCCCAGTTAAATGCCTATTTTCATCCAAATGTGACCTGCGGTGTAATCTCCGATGTACCGTTCGAATAAGCCAGTCAATTTATTTTTATTAAGCGAAATATCTAGGATCAATGATACATCGAAAATCCGGCGTCATACATTTTACGTAATCGATAATCTTTCCTCTCCAAAACTCGCTTTCAATGCACGCTTATTCATATTTCATTCCATCTTTTACTACACGTTCATAGAACATTCATTCAACTGATTTCAACTGATTTCTCTTTATACATATACATATATATCTTCAGATGCATACATTCGTTTATTTTTCGTTAAAAAAAAATATTGAAATGTACAAAATTTGAAAATTATTCTGCTCATACTATCAGCTACTTTTCACCTCACGTACATCTCGATAAAATTTGTGGTCAGAAACAATTGAAATCTATTATAGTAACTCAATTTTTGTTTCATTTCTAATTCGGATAAAATTGCTCTTTATAAATGAAATATTTCTGTCATTAAAAAAATATTGAGCGAATATGTGACAAAGACTACTTTAAATTTGACATCAAATAATACCGAAGAGTTGAATAAGATCCATATGAAAAAATTACCAATGCATAAAGTCAAAACAATGAGATGTACTTCTCTTGTGAATCGCCTGTCGATGTAATGCATCTGAACGTACAATAGTATTGTAATATGATAATGTGAGCAAAACGACTTGCGTAATGTTCGATTTGTCCATTGTGGTGCGAAGGATCTTATTGTTAGCAAAAACAACTCTCTCTCTCTCTCTCTCTCTCTCTCTCTCTCTCTTATTCAGTTGGTTTTTGTTGTTGTATGTAAATGGGGCGGCATCGTATCAGTAATTTTATTTGGGTTCGTATTGTTGTTAGTACACGTACATATGTATAGTTTACCGGTGAGAGCCTACGGTCCTGTATGTTCATTCGTTTAGAATAAAAAGATGCCCAAGGGGAAACATCTGTTCAAAAAAAAATGCGTTTTTATGCTAGCTATACGAGCGTAGATTGCACTGCTTGGAAAATATATACACATTCTCTAGTAAAATGATTGTTGCATTTGTATTCGAAACGAATGGCAACGTTATGAAGTTGGGATAATAACCGGGAAAAATCACAACCACATTGCACATTATATAGAAGCGTCAAGTACCCACTCATATGCTCAAAATAAAACACCCTCTTTTAAAACCAACAATAGCAAACAATCTACGCAAACACTAGCATTCTTCGAACTCAAATTGTACAGTGTTGTTCAACACGTCACACAGAAAATAACAAAATTTCTTTTTTATTATTATTAATTATTATTAGGTACATATTAAACCATTTGTGTGCCACTGTTCATGTGCTCATGTTCGATGTCTGATTAATGCCTAACATTTTTTTTCTCTTTTCAAATGCGATAATTTTTTTTTTTTTTCGTAATACATTATTCTCAACTTCGACAGGAAATATGATTCGCATTCAAAGGGGGTGCATTTATTTAATCGCTTAGTTAAGAATTTTTCACTAACTACAGTCAAAACTGGGTGATGTATTTCCAGTGTATCAGCACTTTTGTGCATTTACCAACCTTACGAAAACACTTGATATAAACCAATTTATGGATATCATTTGTAATTTGCATCCTATACTTCCTTTTATAATTTGTGCCGATCGGTCGCTCAGTTTTTGGACCAATTTTTAAAATGCTTCTTTGCCAAATTTCATCTGACTCGGATACACTGTATAAATCAGTAATGTGCGAAGGGGGGGGGGGGGGTGGGGGGGGATTGGATAATTTGGATGAGAAATTTTTTTTCGCGAAAATTATTCGAATATGCTAGGGTTTCTCATGAATTTTGAAGACCTTTTTTTTTTTTTTAGCTCATCAATGTA